GCTCTTCATCTGATAATAATTCCTCACACTCTTCATCATCACTTATTTCACTTGCACCATTACCGTCAACATTTTTATTGTCTTCCTCGGAGACTTCATCATCTTCGGCACTGTCATCATCCATTTCATGACCATAATCACCATCACTTTCACCACTGTTATTATAATCCTCTTCAACAGTGCCAACACTTTTGTCACTTTCATCATCTGTGAAGGCAACATCCCTATTCACTATGTCCTCCTCATCACTACTACTATTATTAATGGCATCATCTTGTTCCAATAACTCAACACCTGGGATATTGCTAGGAATATGCACCTCACCAAAGGCTTTGGGTCTGGCCTTTGGGTCGGCATGCCTTCCTCTATCCTTCTTGACCAATAAAGAAGGGCAGACCTGCACAAGAAAAATTGTCAGTTATGTGTAAATGACAGAACTAACAATTTCCAAAATGAGAGAAGTGAAGAGGTTACCTCTCTAAACAAAGTAAGAAGTGAACGAGCAGCTGACGAAACTGATTTCTCGTTTGATTTCCTATACAACACAAGGTCTTGCAGCAGATCTTCAGTCATCAACTGTGAGTAAAGGAACCAACTACATGGTAAAACTAAAAAGGATACGAAACGGAAGCACAGATGCTAAAGACCTGCTACATGGTGGAAAAAAGGAGCATACCAAAGGCATGCGTATGCATATTTCACGTACTACATTGAGTCCAACAGTGATGGCCTGAGGAACAATACTCAGGTAATCAACAAAACACTCACAACAGAAGGAATATATCTCAACAAATATAACACTACCTCTGGGCGTGATTTATCATGCACAAATTGATTAATAATCTGCCTAAACAACGGCTCAACCGCATCAGGTGGTACCTAGTACAAATGGTGAATTATTTTCATTCAAAATTAAGAACCCAATAAAGGATATCAAAATTAAAAGAAGATATATAACTTAACCAAACAGAAGTTACCATGTCATGGCAGGCCTGAACAGCAGCCGCGAGTAGATTTATGACATCACGTTGGTGTGGCTACAGTTGAGAATAAGCAAACTTAGCACACATAAAAACAGTTCGATTCCTGAGAAGAGTAATATATTAACATACCTGGACATATTTCTGAAGGTGAGGG